AAAAAAAAAAAAAAAAAAAAAAAAGAACTGTGGACTCTGACTGAGAGGGAAAAGAGAGTTAGCACAGTGTTCACTGGGGTGGTGATAAAATGTAAATAGAAGTTGTTCTCTTACTTGGTATCCACACTGTGTCTCCAGGTCTCTGTGCATCTTCCTTGTGGTCTCTGGAGGCCTGTGTTTTACTTTCTTAGGGTATTCCAATCCTCTTTGTCTCCTGCCTCAAGAACTAGAATAAATCAAGTAGTTATCACCTCTGGTTAGTTGGTCTGTGGCTTCAGAACCCTTAAGCCTTGACTTCAGTGTCCAGCTCACAGAAACCTTAGTTGGATACTTCTTCCTGATACAAAGGAGAATCTCTGTTGCAAGTCACCCAGCAGAACATGGTGTCTGCTGGAGCTGATGCAAGGAAGGAAATTTCCTACACAATACAAGTAAAAATACTATTTTCAGTATCTTGTGGCATGAGGTTATTTTCTTAATTAGTAACACTAATGGTCTGAATTTGCTTTGTTGCATATAACAGCATATGGAACAGTTCCACTCCCAGGTGTGTCATTGACTTCATTTCACATCAAAAGTGAAGTCAATCATTAGAGATTATGTCCCGATTATATCCCATACCATCTGGAAACTGACTTCCATAAATTATTTTTTAGGTCTCCCTTGCCAGAATGAAATGAACAGAATTCAAAAGCTGAGCAAGGGGAAAAGCCTGTTGGGTAAGTATAATTTCTCGCCACCCATTTAAACAACTAATTAAACCAACCGTGTCTTTTGTAACATTCAGCACGCCAGTGGTTACTCATTTAGGGCCAGTGTCTTGTGAAAGAAATGCTTCCTTTTAGCCCAGGTTAAAGTCTTTCAGACAGTTGGTAATATGCCACAGATAGCTAGATATAAATGGAGGATTGGCTGCCTGGCTAACAACTACCACATGCCTTATCAGCAAGAAGAGAGGCCAGGGATCAGACCCTAATTCAGGCAGGGCTAGATTCCAGGACCATCTCTATTACTAACTCTCCCCAGTCATAGAGTAAAATAAACCTTGGCTTTCTCCTTTCCAAGTAAAGCCGTTTGATAGAGTTAACACATGTTCTTCCCATTGCTAAGAGTATAAGGGCTATCCCTTAGAGCATTTCCTTATTTCTCAGAGCAAGTTGTCTATTCAAGGGGGAAAACAAGCTGTACCCTCCCCAACTCCAGAATTTATCAGATAGGGTCGAAAGGCTTGTCTGCACTTTCCTGTATTTCTCAGTTTACACCGAATCCCTGGAGGAAACGGTTATGGTTGTTGAGACCCTGCTCATCTCTTCTCCTCCATTAAGACCGAAGCAACGGAGGTGTGTTTCCCTAACATGCAAATTTGTGCCACAGTAGATGTAACGAGGGCCAGCCTGCCTGAGTATTCCCTTCTGGCCCTCCTTGCTCCAGCACTCAGGGGAAATGGTGGCATTTAGGCCAGGCCGTTACGGAGACACTGGCAAACTTCATTTTCTGAAGAGTCTGCTTTGCCTTCCTTGCTGTTTTGAAAAGAGCTGACAGCTGCAACACAATAATTCAGAATTATTCTTGTTAAGCATTCAGAGGCAGGTGCATTCCCTAAAGCAGCCTGCCATTTCAGAAGTTTATCTATTTACTTGAAGGAAATGGGCAACTTTTTGCTTATTCCCAAGTGTAGGCAGTCTATGAATTCTGACAGTTTCTCTTCTAAAATTTTAAGTTGCCTCAAAATACATACTCTTTTCTTGTACTTTTGAATTTACTTATTTCTCTGACTTGCCTCATACTTTTGACTCCTGACAGTACACTATTCAATTCAGAAAAGACTCAGAAATTATATGATTTTCAACTCCAAAGGTCTAAGTTCTTCTCCCATATAAAAAGCTATCTATTTAGCCTGAAGGTAAAGTGGCTAGATCCATCCTTCATAGGTTTTTCCAGGGCAAGGACTTACATTGCCCTGTGGAATGCTGTTTTGGCTATTAGTGATGTACCTAAGAGCTTGCTTTAAAAATGTTTCCATTGTATATGGATAGCTTATAATTGCCTCATCAGTTAGTAATTAATGAGACATTTGTAAAGTCTGTCATCTGAGATGTCTCATTTTCCATTAACTTCAGGACACATAAGTGAAACACATACCTTTTTCCTGCCAGAATCCCACCTTGTCTTTTCACATCTCCCACACATGGAGATTACTCTGACTGACTCATAAAAATGCCATTTATTTGCTTACACATTATGGTCTGCATGGGGAAATCTCCTAATATAATAACTGTGCATTCAGGGATATTCGGATTCAAATAAATAATAAAACAGGAAACAACAAATTATAATCACTTGTAATTACTATGTACTTAGGAAAAAATAATCTTATTAAATTATAGATTTAGTGCAGCACCTGCTTCTTATGGACCCGGGGGCTCAGCCCAATTTTTGTTTATTTTTGGTTTATTAAATCCTGTTTTTAAACCACAGCTCAAGGGGGTGAGATCAGCATTTTCCCTGCTCTCATTGTTCTCTTTCTTTGTAGAACCTTATTGAGACTCTGTTCACAAATTTCTTTCTCGTTTAGTTCTGGGAACTGTTGAAAGCATCTCCCTTTGCATTCCTTTGTACTTCCTGAAAGTGAGGGATGAGGGACAATATACTGTGACTGGAGTGCTTAGGTGAGAGGGCAGCATCACAGAGCATCTCTAGGGCACCAGCTGCCCTTCCCAAGCGCTGTATATGGTGTTCAGGGTTCCCAGGGCCTCCAGCCCATGCACAGTCTCATTTTATCTCAGGGAAGTTGGTCATCTTGGAATAGCCTGGTGAGTGGAGAGTTTGAGAGTAGATCTTCAGGGGGCTGGGGATATAGCTCAGTGGCCTAAGCACCTGCTTGGCAAGTGCAAGGTCGTGAGTTTGATCCCCGGTACCGCAAAAAAAAAAAAAAAAAAAAAAAAAAAAAACAGAGAGTAGATCTTCAGGTCAGGTGAATCTGGACATTAATCTTGGTTCAAATTTTACAAATAGTTCCCTCTAATGCTTTTCTCCCTCTGCTATCATCGCATAAAATAAAAGATGAGTTTGAAAACACTGTCCTACTAAAAGACATGGGGAAGAAAAATTAGGGAGAACAAAACTATAGCGGTAAGCAGGAACCTCTATTTTTAGGAGGCTGATATGCAGGATATTATTATTCAGGTCAAACTAAGAAGTGCACAGAGATTAATCATACCGACATACCTTGTCAGGAAAACCAAAACTAAATCTATCACAATAAAGATTACCTATTGTTGAACAAGAATCAGATTCACATCAGACTTTCTATTGATGACACTAATTTAAGAAAAGAAAACAGTACTTCCAAGTGCTTAAGGGAAATAACTTTGAACTTAGAATTTTAAAATTACCCCAACTATTGTTCAAGTATGGTGACAGAGGTATTCTCAATCCATCTATGATTTAGCTTACTAAAATATCACTAAAAGATTTATTCTACCAGATAAATGAATCCAGAATTATTCAGCTGCAACTATGAAAAATAAATGCTGCTAAATCTAAATATGTGTGACCTATAAAAGTATTTTGATAGCAAGGTAAAATTATAATAACACTCTTGGGGGCAATCAGAAAAAGGTGGTAAAATATGTTTGTGGTTTATTTAGCAAGAAAAGGAAATGCAAACTAAATAGGATATATAGTTTTTAAATGCCCAAATCAAACACAGGGTGAAAACTTGATTTCCATGAAAGGCAGGAAATGGGGAAGATGATAACTAGGAAAAACAAACATGGTGGCAGAAATGAGTAACCAATCCGTAATCACAATAAGTGTGAATGGGCCAAACTTGTTTGTTATGAGATAGAAACAGTCGACTGGTAATTTTTAAAGTAGGTGATATCTAAAGCAGTTCTCAGAAACCTGAAATAATTTATATCTGGTAATCAAACAACTACTTTGAAGATAGCAATATGCCATATAACAACCATTGTTAATTTCCTATCATCTTGTTTTGAAATGCTGTACTGTTTTTATTTTTGTTCTTATTTTTTATGCTCTTAAAAAAAAGAAAGCAAAAATGAAACAATGATGTTCTTTTATAACAATGTTGATATCTGACAAATGCAAATACTAAAAAACAGAATGGTACAAGAGTATCATTTTGCTGAAAGGTTCCTATTATGCTACCAATTGATATACTCGTAACTAAAATAAAATATAACAGAATTGCAAAGAGGCACGGTCATATTCACAATCAGATTCAGAGATCATCTTTTTCTTGAACCTGAGAGCTTAAGTAGGTAAGAAAAGGACAAAAAATTCGAACAGCATGACTAATTAGCATTCATACTTACATATGTAGTTCTGAAGCTAAGCATTAAATATATACACTTCAGAAACACACAAGAACCAAGAATGGTGGCAAACCCCTGTAATCCCAGCACTTGGGAAGCTGAGGTAGGAGGATCATTGTGAGTTCAAGACCAGCCTGGGCTACATAGTGAACTCAAGGCCAGCCTGAAGTACACAGCAAGACCTTGTCTCAAAAAACAAAAAATAAACAACAACAACAAAACACATGCACAGGAGCTACCTGCCACATACTATACAACAAAAGAAAACTCAACAAATTTCAAATAATTACAAATCAAATTCCCTGACCACAAATTTCCAAAATCTCCATTTCTAAGGGGTTTTCAGATTATGCTGCTAGTCCTTGGACCAAACTGAGAACAAGTACTATAATCCAATTTATAACAATTATGAAAGCTGAGACAAAATATTATCAGGTGTCAAGTTTGGGCCACAAACACAAGAGATCAAAACTACAAAATTAATCAAAATGTTACTCTCAAACCCCAAGCAGATAACTGGCCCAGAATACTTTTTTTTCCCCAGAGATGGGATGAATCCTTCAAGGAAAAGAACATTCTTTTTAACAAAATGTCTAGAAAAAGATGGGAAAATGTCTGAATCATTTAGTAATGAGAAACTTTGGCAGAAAACTTACAAGCCTCTCTCAGCTAGTAACATATTTGCAAAAGCACCTACTAATACTAGCAGTAATATTCCAGTAACAATATATCATGTCCAGGAATTGTCTACTTCATGCAAGCAGTTTTCTAATAATATGCTACTAGTAATTCATTAACGGTGTATAAAGGACAAAAAATGATTTGCTCAACTGTTAAAAATGAATTAGCAGTAGTACCCATTTGTGGTTTAAAGGGAAAAGTCAAAACTCAGTAGAATAGCACCTCCCTGGCAAGTGTGAGGTCCTGATTTTGATTTCCAGTACCCCCTCCAAAAGAATACCCAGTAAAGAAGGAATAGAATCCTAAGACAAATCTGAGACAAGTAGTGTAACTTTAATTTATCACTTTTTTATCTGTAAACCCCAGCAGCTTGGTGTCACTGGAGTAGCTCAGTGGAACACTACAAGGAAAGTGTGTAGCTGTTACTGGCTTTGTTAGAGGCGTGGTAGCAGTGATGGTGAATGGTTCTGCAAAGTGCGCTCTATGTATGGATTGTAGTTAATGAAACGGTTGATAGTGTTCGGCAGTGAGTCAGAAATTGATACATTTAGAAACCTTTGTAGGAATTTCACAGAGTTGCTTCATGTGGCTGGACCACATATTGTCCTGAATGGACTGGAAGTTAAACAAAAGCAAGTTCTTCATCGTGGGCATTTGAGAAGCACTGCTTTGGATTCAGAGTCAGTGATGTGAATCTAGTCTTGGTGTTTATTTGCAGATGCTTTAGGTAGATTACTTCATTCTCCTGTATCTCAGTCTCCTATTTACTGAAAGGTAACAGTATGACCTCTCTTCACATGTGGGACAATCATAAATTGTATGGTTTAGTTCAGTATCCCAAATATACATAAATATTTAACACGTATTAACTACTATTAAGCCTGTTTGAAAATTGAGCTCCTTTGAGTTCAATGTATTTGGGCATCTAAATATTGAGGTCCTTATCATGTTAATGAGGTAATAACCAACTAGCCCCATTCTCTTCTGCCAGCCCTACTGTAGCAAATATTCAAGCTGATATTTGAGCTCTCCTCCCTGTCTTGAATGATATTAACCCTGAGTATCTCTGCGCTTCTCTTATTAAAGCCAGATTTCTTGTTCCCCCAGGGGCATTCATACCACGGTGTAATGAAGAGGGCTATTACAAAGCCACGCAGTGCCACGGCAGCACAGGGCAGTGCTGGTGTGTGGATAAATATGGGAACGAGCTGGCTGGCTCCAGGAAACAGGGTGCTGTGAGCTGTGGTGAGTAAGGCCCTCTGCATCAGCCACACAAGGACGGATGATCCATCAGCCCTCAGTATGTAAGGACCATGGTAGATACTGAAAGGTGGCTTAATTCTACCATGAGTTTACAGTGGAGACACAGAAACCCTAAATGACATGAGCTCATGCATTACATAGTATAGCTCAGCATAGCACAGCACAACTTTGGAAGTGGCAGGAACTCACTGTGACCATGACCAACAGGTTAGACAACAGTGTTTGAGAGTTAGGATACTATTGCAGGCCTAGGACATCTTAGGTTGCTGTTACCTTTCACTTAGGGTTATAAAGCTCCTGAGAAGGGAGTGGCATGCCAGCATTCTAGGGCCTATGCCAGAACAAAATTTGTGGTTCTTGCCACAGAGACTGACCCTAGATGGGTAGGCATGCTCCCAAATTCAGAGGGTAACTTCCATGGTTTTTCCCTACAAGTTCCCCTGAAAGTCAAGTCACAGGCACAGGGAACCCGACCCGGGGTGTGATGTATAAACAAAAACTAACCATTAACCTTTGCTTCTTGTGCCAGAAGAGGAGCAGGAAACCTCAGGGGATTTTGGCAGTGGTGGCTCCGTGGTCCTGCTGGATGACCTGGAGGATGAACAGGAGCTGGGACCAAAGGACAAAGAGGGGAAGCTGAGGGTGCACACTCGGTCTGTGACAGAGGATGATGAGGACGAGGATGACGACAAAGAAGATGAGGTCGGGTACATATGGTAGTGGCCACAAGGAAGAGGACATACATTTTGCACACAATTGCAAGTCACTTCCTGTTCCTACATTTGTATCTAAGACTCCAAGGCATCAACGTCTCTTCTCCACTGTTGCTCTCTGTACCCAACTGAAGTTTTGGAAGACAGCTGCTTGTCCCAGAGTATTCTGATTTTGCATATGATTGTGTGGGAGAAAGGGTGTTGTTTTGGGTTATTTTATTTTATGTTTTTGGACAACAGAATGGCTGGTTTAAATAGAACCTCCTTCCTGTAAGATTTTTGCAACAAGCATGTGATTTGTGTGGAATCCAGCAGTGCAGGGAGCCCCCACTCTTGTAAACGTCAAAGACCCTTTTTGATTACCCACATTGGTGGTTCTTACAGCATGGTTCCCAGCCTTACAGTGTCTAAGTGCTTTTCTTGTGTCCTATAGATGTCGTGGAAAACACACCACACTGTTCCTTTTCTTTCCACCCCAACCACCCCTGGTTTTTATAATTAAAAATTAATTTTATATCACTATATCTGGCTTCCTACAAATAACAGCCTTAATTCAGTCCCTTTGGGGAATTCATTTATTAAAAATCACATCTGGATGCTTCTGTCTGCACACACATAAGTATGTACACATGTACAACAGAAATTGTGTGTGCAGGCCTTGCACACACACTTTGCAAAAAAAAATGTCTCACTATCTATTAAAAATTCATTTGAAAAACGTTTTTTAATTTATCAGCTTGTCTAGACCTGGAACAAAATTTCTGGAATAAGAAATTAGTTTGAAAGCCCCATTTTGCACTAACAGCATTTGTAGCCTGCAGGCCGAGGAGGTTTCTTCTCTGTGCATTAGCAGAGTTACTGGAAGCTTCTTTGATTTGGATAAGCCTCCGTTTGCCTAAATCGTTTCTTCCTGCAGAAGCCATGTGACTCTCACTGGGGCAGCTTCACAAGCCATTGCTCTCATTTCAGCTCAAAGCCCCACAGGCTGCAGCAGCCCTGTCTGCGCAGGGTCCCCCCTTCCCTCCCTACTCAAGGGCTTTTTGTAACACATGCATGTGCCCAGGGGGTTCTCTGAGAAGACAGTACCACGGTATTCCTTAGAATACAACTTAGGGTTCTTAGTTCAATGTTTTGCTTTTGGTTACTTTTTACCCACAAATTATGATAAGGCTACAAAAGATGTGTAGCTTTTAAAAGAAAATCCACATTTTACAAAAAATCATAAATGGAGGCCTAGAAAGAACTTCACAGTAGCATATGGAAGCTAGGTTTGGGTTTTCAAGAGTGAGCCTGCCAGCCCCCATACATACACAAAAGTCTTGAGATATTACTGAAAAAAAGGCTTTTCACCACAATATTTCTTTTCCCAAAACTCATTATTGAATTCTAGTTCCAAATCTGGTAGAGTCATCTTCACATTCTTTAGAATTCTCTCATCCAAGTACCAAAGAGTAGTCTTCACAATGGCCCCATTCAGTTCTGTACTGGTCTGTAAACTCCTACCCTGTTTGTTTACTATCCCAATCAGCCACCCAAACCCCAGCTCTCTAGGCCACATATCTCTCAAATCTCTCTCTGGCTTCCCCCATGAGCTTTATCCAGTCCACAAGACAAGCACATCAACTCAGGCACACACCCCCCAAAAATTATATATAAAGATATTTTTTTTCCCAAACAAGCCATGATCCCTGTGGCAGCTGACTAACCCCCACATCAAACTGACCATTTATATGCAGTAACCCACCTTAAGCTAGCATCCTCTGATACTTGCATAAGCTGGATAAAGTGGCATTATCCCTAAGGTTGGTCTCAGATGGGAAATGAATATACCTGGTGTCGCTAATTCCTTTTTCCTGATAGATAATGTATGTACCGTCCCTATATGGAGGCCATAGGCAAGCTCTGTATGGGGATCTCAACCCCATCGCCTTAGTTTCCATATTTTCCCCTACTCAAATACAGCTCTGCAGTGATTCAGAAAACATGTGTTTAATTGCTGCTAAATTACAATAGAGAACATAAAAATCAAAACTTCTTTAAAAATCTCAGTTTATACCATCAAAGAAAAATATTGTTACTGTGTCCTCTGAGTTTAGAAAAATGCACAAGAGAACAAATTAAAATCGACAAATTGATTTCGCTTAGAGAAGCTTCTAGGAACCAAGTGAACCATGGATTTTAATTTGCCTAATTATCTTATGACGAGTGTCAAATTAAGATGACACTTAAAGATCCTTAGCATTAACTTAATGATGGAGAAGAGTGCTCAATAGGCAATTCCCAGGAAGGTAATGAGATGCCATTTTCAGAGATTTTTCCAAGAAGATGTTTTGATTCATTAAAATATTAAACCAAAAACCCTCCTAAGCCTGGAACCCAGAATCAACGGAACAACATTAATATTGCTTTCGTGCCTCACATTGGCATAGCAGCATTAGGCCTTCTAAGATGTTTAGTACTTTCCACTAGTACTTAGGATTAGATTGAATTACCTTATCCTTTGATGTAGAATTTTTGTTTTCTTGTTTCTGGAAGGGGCCTTTTAGTTACAGTGACCAAGTATACATAAGATATTGACTTTTTTAAAGAAACAAAATAGTCTTGTAATAATCCAATCCTTTGTTTGAGACAAGTATTGGATTCAATCCTAACGATTTTAGAAATTCTTTAGTGAAGAGTTTCTTTTCCTGTAACTCGTTCTTTAATATCATTACTGTGGCATCCAAGTTAAATCCAAGGATTTTCTTTCACCATGGTTATTTGTCTGCCATATGAATGTCTACAGATGTTCTAGGCATGGGAATACCTTACTACTGAATTTGAGGTTGTATGCCAGTTTGTCCTTCTTTATGCCTATTTCCCTATGCATAGCAGCAAATGATGTATCTGTCCAGGTCTGCCCTCTGCTCCCCCAGGATTCCATTCCCATTTGGTTTTGGTTTACCTTGACCACACTGTATAGTAATATCCAACAGCCCTTTCTACAGTGGGTGGTTTCAGTCTTTTTATACCGTTTTCTCAAAGTCACTGATGTATGTCCCTGTTCACTGTGTAGCCTTGTAATGAGAGCCCATCAAATCCAGGGTGTCAGTTTGTTGTCCCTATTGTAGATGAAATAGTGATGTAGAAAAACTAGTATTCTGAATGCTTTTCCATGTAGACTTACCTGGAATGTGAACACAACTCTTTGGTTAATAGCAAATGCTTAACTGTAGTCCTGAGTAGATGCATTTCTGTCTGTCTCAATAAATTTTACTTTATCTGCAACATGTGAGTGTTTGCATTTTGTTAGCTTAGATATGAAGTCACCAGGCCACATCCAACACATGGTCACCGCAGGACAGCCTGGCAGCTGAAGGGGCCTGCCACCAAGGGCCTCAGTCAAGATTGCCATAAAAACGTGGCAATATTTCCCTGCCGGGCATCAGTCCTGCTCTGACTTACACATGCCCTGTGCCTACTCAGAGCCAAACCACCTGACCTCTCTCTTAGCTGTTTTTGTCTCTCTCAGGCTTTAGCTTTATTCCTTATCCACCAGAGTTCATATTGTTATCCTATTTTTTTTTTTTTTTTAATCTTAACATGTTAAACTCTGCTTATATCTTTCCTTTCCAGTTAGTTATCCTCTAATTCCCCTCGGGTGGGTGCGGAAGAGTCACTCTTTTACAAGAACCCCAATTTCTCCTCCACCTGTGAATTAATACACCAGATGCTTGTCAAACACCAGGAAGCACCCAAATTAGGACCCAACTATTTCCTTCCACCTTCATCCACATTCAAGCCAGTTTGTCTAGGATTTAATGATACCCCAAGTGAGTAATTTCCCCATGACCTGAAGTAGAAACTATGCTATGAATGATTCCATTCCTTTACTCCATGGATAAGATTTTACAGACAATTTATAGACTGACAGTTCAAGAAGAAGTGCATCATAAATCCACAAAGTAACTAATGTACTAATGTCAGGAGAGCCAATGGCCACTATCAAGCCTCCCAGGTAGTAAAGGGTCCATCAAAGAGTTGAAGGCATGTGTGGACACATTCCGCACTCCTCTGAAATCACCTGGACTTTATAGATAAATCCCACCCCTCTCCTACAGTTGCACCTTCACAGTGTGATGTTGATCTTTCCAAGTCAACAGCAAAGGAAGGGAACCAGGGAGCCAGCCCATTAACTGTGTGCAACTGAGTAAAAAAGTCTTCAAAGTGTTTGGTTCTAAGATTTATTTTGATATCATGATTCAAAATTTATGCTAGTAGTAAGCCTTCTGCTGTTAATTGGTAGATTTGCAGATTATTTTGAATGGGTGAATGCCACTGTTGGCAGGCAAAACCCTCAGTTCTAGGATGTAAAAGTGTCAGACATTTGCTCTGAACAATTATTATCTCCCTGAAAAGGGACATAAATAATTATGACATTTTAGGTCAAAGGATGTCATCGCTGACACCAGTGGCTAATCCAGCACCACTAAAGCTTGCCTTCCTTAGTTCCTTTTACCCAGAATTCCCTAGGTTTTCTCCTACCTCTTGGGCCACCCCTTCTAGGTGTCCTGAATATTGTGGTGTTCAGCCAGGTCTATTAACATCTCATATTGTGCCTCTGATCCATTTCTTTTTGGTTTCATGTGCTTTCTCTGGACAGTCTTCTGCCTTTAGTCTCAAACATCCCCTCTAGTCTGAAGGACCCCCAGTTTATACTTCCATTATAGGTTTTGACTTCTCCATTTGAATTTCCCACTGACACCTCAATTTCAAGCCTTAAAAAATCAAAATGAAAGGCTACACAATGAATTTGTCAGTGGCAAGGGGAGTCAGCAAGGCTTTTAAGTCCTTGCAAACATAAGCCATAAAGGAGAAGATGGATAAATGTGTATCCATAAAAATTAATAACACGTTATAAACAAACTTAAATGATAAACTAGAGGCTAAAAAGATATTGGTGACATAAAACAGATGAAGGATTAGGGTATAAAATATTTTTTAAAACTCCGACCAATCCATAAGGAAAATAGAGCCCAACAGACTAGTGGATAAAAGATAAAAACAGGCAGTTCATAGGAAACACACTTTTGTATGTTCACCTTATGATGCTTATAAAGTTAACCACAGTAAGAAGAGTAACTGATAACAAAAATGAAACAATTATGATCATGCTCCAAAAAGTAAAAGAAATCTTCTTTCTCTCTCTCTCTCTCTCTTAAAAGATCTTACTGTACTATATTCACCCTTCTTGTGATGTGAGATGCAGTGTCTATGTAATTATATGGAGTGAAAAGATGGACATAGGCATTATGATATATTGTTAGTGTACTCTGGACCTTCCAACAATGTCAGAGGGACGGTCACCCATTCCTGGTGATGCTGGATCAAGCCACAACAATGTTGATAGCTGGATATCAGGAACCAACAAGGTCAATGGCTGAGTATCCTTGATTATTGAAGGTGTTCTTGCCAAAATCCCCTGGGAAAACAGTACCTTGGAACTTGTTTTTAATTCATCAAAGTGTTGCTATAAAGCTTGAGTCCTTCAGTGGTCATATAGGTGCGTTTCACGCTGAGTATCATACACAGTAATTTTGTCCTATTAGATCTATGGTTTTTGAAGCACGTGGGCAAACATCAGAAATATTTGCATTGCTGCTACTGTTTCATTTTCCTTTTCTTTATCCTCTATAAAGCACTCCCCAAGTTCTTCCAAGTTTTAAATTGTTAACAATTCTCAAGGTCCTTAAGTATGTTCTTTCCCTTTTTCATTAAGCACGTCTGTAAATCCTTACTCACCAGCCTGTCTTGATGTGTGAATAATTTTCATAACTTTTCCACCAGTACCTTGGAAGCCTTTAAACCATTTATGACTTCAATTCTCCCAGCAGGCACCTATAGTTTCTTGTTTTCATTCATCCATTGCAGCTTTGTTGAATATTGTTGTGTCTGAAGTTGTGAATGATTTGCACCACTACATTATGTTCCAATTGGGGTCTGATCAATTGCTGGCCAGATGTTATCAAATGCCCGGTGGGTGTATCCCATGATTAATGGGACAATGCTCTGGTTAAGGTACTGTAGCAATGAAGTTATATTTGGAAGTAAAAACTATAATCTGGGAATTTTCATTTTCATAGAAAACAGATTTGGAATGGCCAGGTGCATGGTATATGACTAACAGGATTTAAATTCCAATCTTTCCTCTTGTGCGTGTCTTTTCACTCTTAGAGTAAAGCAGCAGTGGAACCATTCCATAAAACAGACTGCTAACACCTAAATTTGCTCACAGTGTTGCGAGAATAAGACCAGATAATTTTTGCTTTTGTTTTTGAGAGCACATGTGTTCTTTGCTTTGTAAATTACACCTGTCTTTATCATAGGCTCTGCAGCTTTGATATAGTAACAGAATTAATCCATCCTTTCACATTTTATTCTGTAGTGATGCTTCACTTTAATGATTGTAAGTTACACTGGGCATCTTATTCCAGAAGAGCCTACTTCATTGAACTGAAGATTTGCTTTGGCTGGCATCTTTTCTCCTTAGTCAATTTCTAAACTCCGCTGGAAATGTGGCAGCAGCTTCTTCATCAGCCTACCCACTTATTTGTATATTTTTCAGTATAAATTTATCTCTGAGTCTGTGTGACAATGTTTTATGTGGCTTGGTGTCCCTCATTTCAGGGGATCACCTGCTGAGGTCTTTGTGTAGGCACAGCGCTTTCTGGTGTAGCAGGTTGCTGTCATTTAAAATGTATTTGTGTTATCTTCCACCCACAAATTTAATGCCTCCTACTTTAAGCATGTATTGTGCATTGTCCCCATAAATTTTTCAGTTTCAGATATGACAGCAAAACTAGCATGAATTTATTTCTTCACAATTTCATGAAGAGATTTGTTCTTACCATAGAGTTTAGCAACCTTAGTGTACAATTTTCTTTTCTTATTAAATTGAGAATTTTTGCTTAAAGGCGGTACTTTATGACATCACCATGGCATATCTGAACTACTCGCATCACTACTCTTGTGCTCCAGAGCCATTATTAAGTAAAATAATGGTCACTGGGGCAAAAGCATGGGAATACCACAAGACTCAATCTGATAACTGAGATGGCTACTAAGAGACTAATAATAAGGGAGCAGTATACACAGCATGGATACAATGGGCAATGGGATGAATCATGTCCTGAACAAGATACAGCAGATGGTGTGAGATCTTCTCACAACACTCAGAATAGCACACAACTTAAAACATATCAGTGGTTTATTTCTGCAATTTTCCATTGATAATTTCAGACATATTGACCACAGGTAATTGAAGGTGCAGAAAGTAAAACTACAGATAAGGACTGGCAGCTGTACCTGGCTTGGCAGACAGGTTCCCTTTAAATTGATTCCTTCACAACTCTTGCATTCTCCACTTCTCAAATTCTAATTGTTCAAGCATTTCTACCTTCCTAAGTGTCTCCCCGTGCATCTGTTGATTCCTTTCTCTAAAATGTCCTGGGAACTCAGCTAAATGATTCCTCCTCCGGGAACCCTTCTAAATTGCTTTCAGGAGAACCAGGCGTCTCCGACTCTTTTCTCTGGCACCCTCTTTGTAGCTCCAGCCTAAGGCTTGTTCATTTCCCCTGTTCAACTGTTTGTTCATTCAAACAGGAGCTTTCTGAAAACAAGAGATGCTACAAAATGGTGGAGGGAGCTTCAAACCCTTATTTCCCCCAAAAGACATACAAACAAAAGAAAAAAAAGAAAAAAAAAAAAAAAAACAGCCAAAACTTTCTAACCACACAGGAGCTCTGTAAAACAAGTCTATAGTCATCAAGTGAATGCTTGATCAAGGAAAGGGCGCTTGAAACTCCAGTGGAGCAATCGGTTAGCACGTGGTACTTATATAAAAAAGGGCACATTCAAAATGGGAGGAGATTTCAGTGTTTTAACTTATTCTCAACCCACCTTCTTAGAGCAGTGTGGTCTTAGTGGAGAGAAGGTTGCAGTCCAGTTCCCCATTCCTTCCCTCAAACCAGAGGCAGCACAGCAGATCTTATTTTCAATTTTCTAATCCGTCACAAACCCACCTACATAACTAGTTTCTATTTCATCTAACTACAATTGCACTCAGATGCAGCAAGCGCTGCTCATGGCAGCTACAGGTGATTAGCACCCCACAGATACCTGGGGCAAGAAGTTATGAGTACAGGCATACAACCAATGAAGACTCCAAACAGAACTTGCGTTAAGACTCTGGGAAAGAGACACATTCAAAAGTAGCTGTGGAGAAGAGG